AGATGCTGCTCAGTCTTTGGGGTCACATCCACTCTATTCCCACTGTTGGGACTCTAGGCTGAGCAGAGTGAGCACAATAACTATCCACAATGCTCACACACAGTTTGCTGTGGAAACAAGAAAATGGGCAGCTAAGAGGAATGTTTCCTCCTACAGACTGTCTCCCAACGCTCTTGTACTCAACAGTTACAAATCCGTGAAGCAGTTTGTGAAATTCATAATTTGAGGTCGAAGGTCAGGAGGAGCTTGTAAACCCACCCCCTTTTTTTCCCTGCAGAAAATGAATGTGTACAGAAAGCTTTGAAAAACTGTCTACTGCGCAGTTGACTTGCTCAGAGGGAGCTATTTTCCAATACATGGTAATGAGGAATTTGCAATTAGCTGGGCCTTACCAGGAGGAAGTGCACAACAACAGGGGGAAGGGAGGAGAAGAAGGGAGACACAATGCTGCAAATTACACAGAACTATATATGCTATACATGCATGGGCAAGTAAAGAAGAAACTTGATGTTTATTGGGAAATTGGTTTGTGCTGTAGCAAAGACCATACAATAGAGAGGATAAGACTATAACAAAAACAACAAATTAAAGATGACACACAAATACAATTCTCGGCTGTAACATCATAGATTTAACAGTGTTGCAGCTTCACCAACAGGGATGACAATATATGGGTGTATGTAACACATATAAAGCATAATAGTGTGTATCAGTTATGGCAATGCCATAACTGATACACACAAATAAGTTGAAATCATTGATTTGGTCAATTATTTAAAAAATATTTTAATCTTGAAATGTCAGGTCGATGAGGAGGCATCAAAAGAAAGGCTTGTATTATCCTGCCTCTCCTCATCAGGGATATGGATTACACAGACTCTCAGCCTGTTCTGTCTGTTAACACATTCTGAGGTAGAGTTTTAAAGATTGTGGTAAAAGAGCTGGTCATTAAAATCAAATCAATTGTATTTGCAGATAACACTTAAGTCGTGTCAACAACTACATCCATCAAATGACTAAAACAGCAAATGACTACATTATAGACAGGATATACATATTTGTTGGGAATTGCACATAACAATAAGTGAAAAACATAAAGAAACAGAAGGGAGATTTTCAGCACCCTGTTATCTATTCCATGGTAAATACAATCTCAGATATTTCCCAGCATTTTTCTGTGAAATCAAGCCTTGTGCTTATGGTTAAATAAAAAGACACCAGCCAAGTGACGACACTGACATGAACCTCAAAACATTTGCTAATGCATGTAAATAATATCAACATTAAAAGAAAAAATCCAATATCAGCATATGTGAAAATATATGAAAACAATCTTTTTAATATTGTGAAATGTCTGTTATCTGTTTCTTTAAATAGTGTTCTGGAGTAGAAAATGGCTTTCGAAAATCCAAAACACATGTACCCGCCATAAATCAATACACCTGACAATCTTGCACAGACAAAATGCACAATAACACCAGATGTTCTGTTCTCTGTGATCAGACTTCTTTGAATGTTTACTACAGTTAACTAATTAAGACTGTTTGTGGCACTTCAGGAGTAATTATACATATGTTTTTAAGACTCCCAAAAAACCATGTCTGTTTTCATATTGTTGAGTTGCATTAGATAAGGAAATCATTTGTTGCTAACTGTACTATCTGTACTGATTAAGGGATATTTCTTGTCTTCTACTGCAACTCTGATATTAATGCTTAGTTTCAAACCCTGTCCCTCCAATCTAACAGCTGAAGTCTAAGTGGCATATACTATAGCCTAATGCATGGCAAAAGCAGTAAATAACAGTGAACAGTGAATAGATTTTGGTTTAGTGCTCTAATTGCGATTGCTGAGTGAAAGAGGCCACGGTTCTGCACTATGAATGTAATGCACGATGATTAGCCCTGCATGCATGTCCTGTGACTGTGATATTGCTGCTGTCCATGACTGTAATATGAGCTGTAATTTGTAGGTTGTAATGTGACGTGGGTAGAGACTCATTGATAGCATTTGGCACACAGCCTTGCTTGGATGAAGCACTTAGCAAAGCCAGTCAATCTAAATATCACAGACAGTGCTGTGAGTCAGTTGGAGTGTGTTTGCTAGCCGAACATGCTGTGTAAAAAAATCTGCCTGTTCTTAGCTAGCTAATGAACAGTCATCATAAGATGTTTTTTACATAATCCTGTCATCTAAGATTACCTTAATGCATGTAAAGGCTTGCTGCTGATGTGTGCCTCATTACCTTGGTACATTGGTCATTTCATTTCAAGCGTCTGATTTTCATTAACTGCTCTGCCCCCCTACCCATTAGCAGAATGAAAGCTCGGCTACAACCATCTGGCTGCCAACTAGACCTGAGGGCTGCTTTATGGCTCCACCGAGCTTCACTAAAGGGAAAGTTGCACTATTAGAGCCGTTTCTGAGTAAGGCCAGAGGGAGTACAGGAGTGATGCAAGAAGTGTCCCATGCTTGGGGATGTAGTGGGAGGGGGGGGGGGGGGCAGAGAGATAAATTTAGAAGAAAAACAGAGACTTTGGTGCAGTGACAGAGGGGACAGTAGGGAGGCAAAGTGAGACAAAGTCAAATAAAACCTGACAGAAAAGTCAACATAAAATAGGAGACAGAGGGAATGAAGGGGAGTTCAAAATCAGCTGGTCTATTGACAATGACACATATGACATTTTTGAAACAAGATTTCAGTTATTCCAAGGCAGTTGAGTCTTAAGGGCTAGAGGTGTGATAGGAAAGTGGGAGATTCATCCAAGAACTGATGATAACACATCACACATATGGTGGGATGCTGCACATTTGGAACTCAGAGAACAGGTGTACATTTTACAGCGCCACTGTACACTTTTTATTTTTAGGACGAGTGGTCTCGTTTCGAAATAGCACCTGCTTACTCATACTATTTTAACGTCTTCAGTAAAGTCTGACTCTGATTCTCTTGCCTTTATTCCCCACTCCCACCTCCCATCTCTATTCACGCCTTTTAATTGCTTTTATTTTGACGCTGTTTTGCTCTGTTTCTGTAACCAACTGCACGTCAACACGCTGTATCTTCTTCTATTAAGGTGACAGAGTGCAAAACAACAGCAAAGAAAACCATCCTGAAAAGTAGTATATTTTGTTGCTTATTTCTTCCTGTAGACTGTGAACTATTACTGAATTGTACCCATTATTGTTCATGCATCACTTCCGTAGACCTTGCTGACTGGATGAACAGAATGTGAGCAATTATTTTACTGACTATATTAATTCCTGGCCTCGTTTGATATAACAAGCTAATATGACCTAGATAACTCAAAGGGACGTAGTGATAAGCATAGTAGATACTATCTGCTCACACTTTTTGATGATTTGGGTGTCATAAGGGGAATGAATATTCCAATAAGCATACCTAACTACTTATTTCTGAAATTTCACATTGTCAGATTAATACTAATATACTACTACTACTACTAATAATAATAATAAACTTTATTTATAGAGCACTTATCAAAACAAAATACAAATTGATGAATAATAGACTAATAATGTGAGAACAGTTTGTAGCAGTTACTTTTCTGACTAAGAGACTCCATGGTGGCTTACATTAATCTGATTAACTGCTGTTACAATGATGTCATATGTTATTGCTCTTTACTGAATACAGAGGTCAACCCTGCCACACAATATGAGCCCATTGAGCTTGTAGGAGTTTGGTGTCTTGATCGTGCGTCAGGTCATTAACTTTCTGCCTACACAGCAGACTAAATCCAGGATTTGGTCATTATTCGTCACATCTTTGTCACGGTTTTGGCCCTCGCTGCTACACTGAGCAAATATCGCGTTTACTAATTATGGGATGCCGGCAGTAACCAATTTAGGAACCACACTTCATTCATTTTAGTAGAGCTCTCCTGAAAGCACTGTGCAGACATACATCACTGGTGAGCAGATGCAGCCCTGAGACACAGACCACTGAGTGATTATTTCCATCACCTGAGGAACATCTCTCCTCAGGGCTCATCATGCACAGCAGGGTCCAAGCTTTGTTGGGAATGGGACTAAACAAATTCACTCAGCTGCAACCCTGACTCATGTGGGCTAAAATCTAGTCAGAATAGTGTATGCTAAATTTAGGATCAGAAATGAAAAGCAATGCAACATAATGTTGGTATGGACAATGACATACAAATATTATTATTATTATTTTTTTTTAGGTATCTGGTTAGATAACAGACTCACTTTTAATTTCCACATGGAACACCTGACTGGCAATTTTGAATTTCTGGACAAAAAGTGTTTTGCTTTTGCTTGCCGGAAGATTATTGTTCAGTCTGTGATGTTGTATGCATGCCTCTCCCTCCACCTTAAAGTGTGTCTCACAGTGCCCTGTCCTTTATCACAAATGATAAAATACCGTACTCATTGTGGGAAGTGAAAAGGTGGGCTGGTCGTCTTGGCAGAGGGGAGTTCCACTATACAGAATTATTTATAAAATATGCCATTATCTCTGCTATGTATTTCTGATCTAAATACATCTATAATAATGTTAGGTCCAGAATATTTTAACTTCATCTATGCCTCATGTTCAAACTGAACTTGGAAGCAAAACTGCTTGGAAATACTACGCTCCTCACAGATAGAGTAAAGAGTTTTTAAATTAAAATCTATAATTTCTTTTGATGACAGAGATTGTTGGTGCTTATCATAAGTGAGCCAGAACAGCACTGACTGATATACCTAAAACGTGACACCTTTTTGGTTAATTTAATCCTGATCATGTTGATAAAAATAGTTGATAAATGCTTAATAAGAAAACACACACACACACACACACACACACACGGCTAAAAATAACTCAAAGATTATATATGAAATTGAAAGAAAATGCAGAGGGTACAGCCTTTGAACTCCCCCAACTAACTTCGAGGAGGTTGTTCCATCAGCTGACGCTAGGAGCTGTCCGTGGTGCTGATGCCTCGGCTGCCTTTTCTCTCCATGTGCCGACTGCTCACACAGCCAGGGATCCGCTTAGCGAGCGTCCAAATTAAAAAGGGACCTCCGTATCTCATTTGATAATCCTCGACTGTCTTCACTCTGCGAATTATACAGGAAGTGCAGCAGCAAGCAGCACGGCTCAGTTTGCGATTTGCAGCCGTTAAAATTATCGCTTGTGCGCGTTTTTTTTTTAAGCCTTGGAAGTATTCTTTTTCAACACAAGGACGTGTTCTGTAGCTACGCGAAGAGCGACCTCGACTTTAGTAGACATGTGTATGAGACAAGGCTGTCAATTCAAGACCCTCCTCGCGGTTTTGTTTCTTGCTGCTGCCGTAGGCAAAATACATGGACAAGGTAAGAACTTGGGTCTTGCACGTACTTTGTGGGGATTGTTCCGTGTACTTCCTTGTGTTAAACTATAAGAAGCGAAGGTATAGAGCTGAGGGCTCGGCAATGACACCAGGTCCACCACTGTCAGATCTACAAGTGTGTATGTGGAGGTGTGAGAACAGTGGCATACTCACAGAATTATTTTTTTGTTTTGTTTTGATATTAGGTTTACAACTTAAAATCTTCACAGTCAAGCTAAAGAAACATCAGTATTGCTATTTTAAAAGTTACAGATTACTAAAATACTCCGATTATTTATCTGCACACATCCCACACTACTAGCCTAGCTATTATACAGACTTGAATACTAAATAAGAAGCAAGCAGCAAATAAATGAAAATCAGTTTCAGTGTGGCTCCATCCTGCACACAGAGTTTAGCTAACTAGAAGTTATAGATCCTCACATTTTGCCACTGGGTAAATGTGTTTAACAGGCTGTTACATAAGGGTTTACTGTCACAACTTACAGAACCTCTTTAGGTTGCTCTGGCTTCAGTACACACACACACACACACACACACACACACACACACACACACACACTTTTGGCCACATATATAGCATTAAAACAACCCATGTGGAAAATGACACTTCATAAGACATTCACAAACTAAATACTATTCTGAACCACATTCAACTTAATGTGATTAGGATTTATTTGTTAAAACCTGGAGTAAACAATCAGGAAGTGCCTGGTCCTCGTCTGGGCACTGAGGTCTGTGTGACAGACGGTGCTCGGTAATAAGACTCTAATCCTCAGGAATTGCTGAAGATTATTGACCAAGCTGTTTGACACAGCTGAGTGCCCGTGGAAGGATTCATGCACAGTGGCCTTGTCCTAATTATTTCTCTATTGTGCGTGTGCCCTCTCTTTATCTTTATAAATATGCTTGTGGTTGGTCTACCTGTGTTTCAACTTGTCTGCACAGTTTTTCTAAAACCCCCCATTTTTGTGGTGATCAATATTTCCTTTTTGTCAAGCCGTTGGACATAGTTTTGAGCCACCTCCAAGGTAGTGCATGCAGATACAGTTTGACTGGTAAATAAGGCGAACAAAATATCATGCAATCTGTACCCTCTGTAAAGTCTCAGCAAAGGAATCATTAATTAATATTTACAATATGTACTTATTTATCTGAACAGTATTGCATATATAGGAACATTTTTTAAAAAAATGTAACAATTTTTCTATGACAGAGAACACACATCATCAGCATTACATAATATCAGTACTTTATCATTAGGTTGAAAAAATGACAGTAAACTGAATGCTTTTTTACATTCTCTTTTTATGAAACCTTTTATGAAAGCTGTCTGATTCACGTTGAAAATGAACATATTTATGAGGGACAAGTTTATTACTAAACAATACACTAATTGCGAAAATGAATTCACATTGCTTGGGCTGTTTCAGTCATTACATATCAGGCCATCCAAACCCGAGGTGCAATCCTGGACCAGTGCCTGAAACAATATTGTACACTATAAACAAAACATCTGCTGAATGAATTACTAGTAGAGGAAAGGTGCTGCATCTCTTCAATACAGTTTCAGAACCTTACATAAGCAAAGGGCAAATCAACTTTTTTGTGAAATAGCCTAACACCATCAGAAAACATTTTATATTGTTAAAATGTGTAATGTGTAATTAACTTGTTTGAGTAAACACACACACTCAGCAGTGGAACACTGTATAGTGCTTTAGTAGTAGATGTATGAATTTTTGAGTGTTTCAATTGCACATATCCCAAGAACACACCTGCACTGTTCGCTCAGTGCTCAACACTCTAGGGGGAGGAAAAATGCACAGTTCACTATTTTTAGAGCAAAATAAAATTTAACAGCTTCCATTAGTGAATTCTCTGCTTTTGCTTAGCCAGCAAATGTTTACGTCTTAGTACATTCTCCAAGGTGGACCATTTCAATTTTTAATCCTCATGGTTGTGAAGTTTTGGATGCATAGACATGCACAGGATAGAGTGAGGTCTTAATCTCTCATTTGTGGCACAGCCTGTTGTTGTGAACTTGCTCCAGTCTGTTACATAGCAGGGAACACAAACACCATCTATTTCACTGCCATGAGCACAGGAACAGAGACATTTAACAACACTTTGGAACGCTGTGCCATTATTTTTCCATCTGCCTTGTGCACATACACGATATTGTGTAAAGAAAATGTCATTATCGGAAATAAATGTAATGCTTAATAATTGCTGTTAGGGTCACTTGTCATGCAAATTGGACAGTAGGCATGTCCATAATTGTAACAAATAATAGTTGCTTTGCAAATTAATTGGTCTAGCCTTTGATCCTTTTAACTTTTTTCACATAAATGAGAAGAGGTTGTTTGTAGTGAGAGAGAGAAAGAGAGAGAGAGAGAGAGGAAAGCCCCTGTTTGATGGAGGATCATTAATATTCTGAATCAGAACCTCTCACTTCTTTATGTACACCTTTAACTGCAAAAACATCAAGAAAAATAAAATGGACAGCCCCTAAATCTGTCCCATGCTTTTCATGAGGCACTTTCATCTCCTCCAGCCTTTACTTTTGGGTTTTGTGGAAATGGCAGATTGACTCAGTAGTTCTGTGTGGAGTTTGCGTGATTTTTCTTACATTTACATTTCTGTTTTGGTTTTCATTGACATCCCAAAAACGTACAAGTTAAGTGGTTTGTGATTCGTAGATATGTATGTCTGTGTGTTAGCCTCATATTAAAACTAATTAATATTAGTTAAAGATTAACAATAATGGTAAAATAAAAACAGAGCTTACTAGCTAATTAAAATGAAATCATGGGAATTTTTGTGTGAATGAGAGAGGTATGTGTTGTGTGATAACTGGAGCTGCCCATCCTCTGCAACCAGCAACAGTGTTTTTAAGAATGTGATTACCAAACTGCAACAAGTCATACGCTACAGGCCTTTAATTATCTCTATGCAAACCCAGAGGGACACTGTGACAGAGCTTGTTATGAACATTAACTTGGATAGACAACCTGAAGGGAACAGCTTGAACTTGTCTTATAAGGTATCAGTCAAATTTACACTAGCATTTTAACTGCCATTACTTTTAGAGCACTGGGTCAAGTCAGACTCAATATCAGAAATGTTAAAGGAACACACACTGTGCACATCTAATATGTCTTCCCGGTTCCTACAAGAAATTCCGGTGTAAAAGCATCCCTAACCCCTGAAGTGTAATCAATCTGCATTTACTGATATACTCACAATGATTTTACACTTGTTCCCAATTCGTTCTTCACAAAGCAGTTCAATAGTTGCATTTTGTAAAAGTATTCAAATTAGTGCGTTTAATAAAATCCTGACAGATATTTCATAGCTAATCATGCGTCCATTCAGTGCAGAGACTTTTTGTTTGGTGCGGCACTTGAAGATTTACACAATTTAATGACATAGCTGAGCCTATTCTCTTTATGCTTACACATTATCTCTGCCTGTTAACAATGATCTGTTGCAATCTGGGAGTTGGGGAAAGGGATGTTTTATTCATCCTAAAGCTCATTAAATAAGTTATGATCTTCTGGGTGACACATCTCTCCTTGACATGCCAATATTGATTTCAGGAATGTGTACTGTGGATTCTTCAAATCTTTGTTGTTTAAGACCATAAGATTATTTGTCATATCTCATACTGGATAAAACATCAGTCGATTGACAATCTGGCTATATCTATTATTTATTATTGCGACATATTGCAATTTAGAACGTATAAAACAACATTTTAGCACCCAGTTCACACAGATACCAACATTTATCTCACCATGTTTAAGTCCATGACACTAAAATGTAATCAAGTACGTGACCCTGTGACCCTGCATAGGACCGATCATGCTGTATTGGTCTTGATTTGAGGTTATTATTGGAAGAGGTGCCTATTGAAACTGCATCATTGACAGTGACTGAGATACTTGACTCATAGAGAGGGTGAACATTTCCGTTGGCCCGCTTTTGTATTGACACCTGTTACCACAGTGGAATAAAATTAATTTCATGTTTCAAAGAGGCATTTTATGTGTAACTCAAGAGTAAATCTCCCAGTTTGCCTCACTAACATTACAAGTTACAGCACTAGAGCTAGAATAAAATTGCATATTTAGGATAGATTGTTGCTTTGAGTGGTGCACTGGAAAAATCTGAACATCCTATAATTCCAGGGGAGGTAACAGAAATCATTCAACACCTGTTTGTTGGATTGCCAGTGATTAACTTCATCAAGGGCTATTCAGCATCTGTGTGCTGTCATAATTAGTTTAACTTTCCCAAGGCCTGTCAATGGTAAATGAGAGTCATTATGCCAGAATGCCCCTCTTCAAGGCTTGGCGCCTGGCTGCCTCAGCCCCTCTCTGTGCCTGTCTCGGTCTCTTTCACTGCCTCCTAGGTGGAGCTCACAGCTTGGCTGAATGCGACTCATTTTCAACTCTTCATGTGCAAATGCCTCTCTCACTCTGTGAGAATGTTCTGTGCATCCTAATTTGAGTCATTGCCTCATATATTTTCTTCCTCAGAAGTGTGGATCCTTATTTGTCAAAAGAAAAGATTATTTTTGCAAGGATCTTTAGGGATTTCAACATTGTTTTGCTTGGAATGGTTCTCCAACAGATTTTGGTTTTACCCAATACCTAAAATAAAGCCATGTGTCATTGATTGATGTTTCATTAAATTAGGATGTACTGCAGCTAAATCAGCAGTTCATGTAAAAATTCAAATGTGGAGAACATAAAGTTACTTGACAAATGGTTTAATTGTTTTCCCCATATTGTTACTGTATGGTCAAAATGCAGCATCAGCTTTAATATGAGAGCAATCAGCCATGTTGTATGAATAGTGAAACATTTTGAGTTTCAGTATGTTGGGGCAGACTCTGAGATGTGGTTGGCCTTAATTTGCCCCAGAGTAATTGAATATATTGTGTCCTTGTTTTGGGTAAACCAAGTAAATAACTAA